TATAAGAACTGTAAATTGTAAATACAGGTAAAGCAAGTTCATAGCAGGGATTACAATGATGGTTTTTAGAGATCATTAACATGTGTCCAGGGTTTAGGATCACCAAAGATGTCGGTACAATAGACGCCAAAATGATCGATCTGCACGTACTTAAAGAGAGTTTCCCTTCCGCTTTTTAAATTAAGGTAAACCTGCTTCCCCTTATGTACACATACAGTCTATGTCAGGAAGTTGCTACTTAATTGAACCAACCAGAAACTTGACACCTTCATTTGTCAAATCTAGTATTAATTAAAACATCTTTGGGTTAAAAGTTGGACTGTAAGCTTAGTCAAATTCATACATCTCATCAAGTGAATGCCTTTGAGGTGCATTCCATTTTTAAATCTTCAAATTAGACAAAAGACGTTTTCTGACACCTTTCAACATTTTGCAATATTCATGATTTACCAGTGTATGTCGTCTCCTGGAAATGCTTTTTGCCTTGGGGTCAATCACCAGGTAGGTTTTCCTCCCTTCAAGCAGAGGATCCCGACTCCCCCCGTCTCCCTCCTCCACTTCATACGCTCCGTCCAAGTGCTGATTTGTCTCCTCTGTGATGTGGACTCGCCTATTAATGAGAAAATCGTAGTTTCAAAACAAAAATGAATACAAAGAACAGAGGGCAAGACAACTCAAAATGTATCCTCCATTTTGCCACACTTTCTCAATCGTATTTATTGATTTATTTGTTTATTCCACACATGGCAGTTATTTTAAAACAAAACATGTACACTTTACAAAACATGTACACTTATACTGTTTTTTTTAATAGCGCATTGGTGGAAAGGAGCAGGGAGAAGAACATCTTATTTTTACCTGCAACTTGTTAAAAAAAAATGAAATAACCATAAAAAAGTAAAATAAAAGCAATATTCTTTCAGTCACAGTTGCTTAGAAATACTGAAACATAAAACCAGAACACAAAAGTCAACTTCATACTGTCTAATTACGCTTTCTTTATACATTTTCTTCAACATCACAATTATTCATCTAGATGTTCTCACCCAGGAAGACCTCCAGACTCCATGTGATTGGCTAACGTGACGTCATGTGACCACACGTCATACTGCCACTTCTGCAGACCGATCACACCACAGAGCACGTTGCCCGTGTGCACACCGACCCGCATGCTGATGTCTACACCGGTCGCCTCTCGCAGGAGACTACAGGGAGCAAGAGTATTAGTTAGTATAGTAAGAGTGTTACTTGGTATTTTTATTTAGTACTAAGGCTATTTTGTGGCACTATCAAGTTATTTTAAAACAGAAAGCACAGAAAACACTAAAAGGAAAGGACAAATATGTTAATGTTGGAACGTTATACAAGTTTTCAATGTTGTCTGTCACACCAGCTCAACTTTTTTAGTAAACATTTGTTACTTTAATAAACAATAAAGACAACACTTCAGTCAAAATACTGCATTAAGTAGCGCTTTACAGGTTGTGTATTTTCGTAAATTGTGTAACTTTTTTAGTATTTAAAGGTCACCTATCATGCTATTTGTAGGCAATAGCATAGGTCTCAGATATATAAAAAATATATAAAAAACATGTCTATGAAGTGTTTTGCTCAAAATACCAAACAGATCACCCATTCTAGCCATGCCTCATATCCCTCTATTTCACTTCCTGTTTCAAAAGTGCTGATTTGGGATATAAAGCTTTAAAAAATAAAAATAAAAAAGGAGGGGTCTGAGCTCATGCGGGACCCAGCAGCTACCGTCTAAACTAAATACTGCCGTGATGAAACTCCATATCATGGATTATCAAGGATTGTTTCTGAAACAGTATGGAGCTCAAAGGCTTTCTCTCTTGCCGGTTACACCACAAGGTGAGTTCCTTTTTATTTCCTGCTTCTTCACACACATGCTCTCCAGTACAGGTTAGCTCTGAGTGTTAGCGATGCTAATGTAAACACCGACCATATTACGTCCAAAACAGTCGGGAATTGTTTCTGATAGCAACGTTTCTGATAGGGCCGTGGGTCCACATTTCAGATATTACGTCATATCGGACGCAAATCTGGATCAGCTCCGTTGTTCCCCCGTTTTTAGAGATTTGAGTACGGAGGAAAAGAGAGAGGGTTTTATTTTCTGATGCTGCGTGAGTTCCCTGACTCACCGGGGACACATAGTTATGTATAAAAGACATGCATGATAGGTCCCCTTTAAAATATATTTTGCATGCATGCTTCTTAGGTAACATTAAGCTTTCTTTGGCTCTTTTCTGCTGTAACAATGTAAATGTCCCCTCTGTGGGACTAATAAAGTTATTCTGATTCTGATTTCTTAATAATAATAATAATAATAACAAAAGGTTGTAAATATATCACCTTTCAAAACATAGTTACAACGTGCTTTCATATAAAAATACACAGAAAACAAGTGAACTAAACAACAGCATCTAAACATAAGAACACAGAGTAAAACCGATAGAAAATAATAAAACTAAAATAAATA